CTTCCTCCACATCCTGGCCCCCTGTGGGGGCTTCTGGAAATTTCAGGGGCGCCCCGAGAACCTGGCTCCTTCCCCCCCCACAGGGAGTTCAGTTCTCAGGGAACAATGCGCCTGTTGCTGATTCCAGGCCACCTCCAGGCCCTTCTCAGAGGAGGCCTGCCTCACCATAGCAACTGCGTGAGGGTGACATGCTGACGTGGGGGGATGGAGACTGGGGGACTGGGCAGCCTGGCTTTTCACTCTAACTCTGTTACTCATCACCTTTGTCATCTCAAGCTGGGGTCTCCTTCCTGTCTGTTTCTGCCTGTGAAACGGGGCTCTTAAGGGCTACACTAGCAGGGGCGTTGGAGGACTAGAGTAGGGGTGTCGAACTCAATCAGAGAAGGGGCCAAAATCTAAAATCCAGCCTAAATCGCGGGCCGAATGGTTTACTGAACAGTCATAAACTGTCATTGTGATGGAAACGCAGCGGAGTGCAGTGATGACAGCGCGGTGCAGGCCACATTGCAAGGCCTGGCGGGACGGATTTGGCCCGCGGGCCTTGTGTTTGACACATGTGGACTAGAGGATTTGCACATTTAGATTCATGGTCTCTGCGCCCACTCCTGTCTTCCCTAGCTCTGCCCGCCCCCTCACCAGGCCATCCTGGGAATCTAGAAACGTTCCTAGATCCGAGCATGCCACCTGCTCTGAGAGAAGCCTCCTCTGAGTGTTCGTCCAAATCAGCTGCTGAACTGTGTGCTGGGGATGACTATCAATGAAAACATCAGCTGTGTAACACGCACGCGCGCGCACGCGCACACACACACACACACACACACACACACACACATACACACACAGGATGTGTCTTATTCCTTCATTTGAGCCACTAGTTAGCAGAAAACTCACACCTATGAATTCTCTGAAATTTCAGGAGCTCCAGTACCCGGGGGCCAAGTCAGGGTCTGGACATGGGCTGAAGCAGTCTGCTCTGGATGCCCAAACCAAATGCCAGGGGCTGGGGCTTAACCCACCACATTCTTTTCTAGCCCAGGCCCTTGTGGGTCATCCCATAGAGCATAGGCCCATGCACCGAGAGGTCCCCTTCAGTTCCAGGCCAGGGCACACGCCTGGGTTTTGGGCTTGATCCCCGGTAGGGGGCGTGCAGGAGGCAGCTGATGATATTTCTATCATTAGTGTTTCTCTCTCTCCCTCCCTCTACCTCTAAAATCAATTAAAACATATTTATAAAAAAAGGAAAAGAAAAAAAAAAACTTGTATGTGACCTCAAAGCCTGTCAGTTGTTGCAGAGATGAGTCATATCATGGTCAGAAAGGTTCAGAAATATCCTGAATGTACTTGGCTATTACAGAGACCTATTACAGAAGGGAGGAAGAGGAGGAAAATGAGGAGAAAGAAAAGAAGAAAAAGGAGGAGGAGGAGGAAATGGAGGAGGAAGAGGAGGAGGAGGACAAGGAGGAGGAGGAGGAGGAGGAGGAGGAGGAGGAGGAGGAGGAGGAGAAATGTATTTTCTCACAGTTCTGGAGGCTGGCAATCCAAGATCAAGGTCTGTTCTCCCAAAGTGGCTGTCCTTGGCCTTGCTCTCTGGCTTCCCTCTTGTGTCCCAGGCTCCCCTTCACATAAGGAATCCCCACCCTGATAGTCTCCTTTCCTCTTACCTGAAGAAAAGCTCTGTCCTGAAATAGAGGTACAGCCCATGGTTACTAGGGATTGGGCCTTCAACATGAGGATCTTGGAGAAACATTGTTCAGCCCGTTAACTGGGCACAGGGGCAGCCCACACATCATCAAGGCAAATGGGCGACACATCTGGTCCTCGGTTCCTGGACCTGAGCTGCCCAGCAGCCACTCCTCCCTGCAGCCTGTGGGCCTCGGGCTCTCCTGTGCCCAGGGCACAGGCACCCTGCACTTCTGCCCACTTGCCTTTACTCTCACACCTAGCCCAGGCCCAGAGAGTCCACCCCTATCTCCCAGGGAACCCTTCTCCCTTTACTTTTTGCAACAGACACTGTCTGTCCACAAATCCTCTCTCCCCAGGTGTGGACACTTTTGAAACAAAAGCAAGGCAGACCCAGGGCTGCTCCTGCTCTCCTCTCAGCCACATCCCTCTCCAGAGACATCGGGGATGGCTCACTTGCTGCAAGGCAAGGGTGAGGGGAGAACCAGAGAAGACAGTATCTCAAAATGGTCTGCAGGGCTTGGTTTGAAATTCATGAGAAATAACATAGATGGTTATATGGAAGATGGGTGATAAAGCATGAATAGCAATGCTAATGGTGGGAACTAAGTAGTGGCTGATGGGTGTTCCATGGCTGTTTGAAAATTTCAGTGTGAATTGGAAGTGGCAGGGGCAAAACTAAGGCTCAGTTGCCAGCCTTTGTTAATTATAAATTATATTTATTTGTGAGTTTTTAGTTAAATAAAAATAAAGAAGGGGTTCAAATCAGGTGATCTCTACAATTTCTCCCAGCAATAAAATGCTACAAGTAAGTTGTTTAGGGATCCAGCCCATCTCTAGCACTTAATATCTGCAATGCATTTTCTAATCATTTTATAATCATACTAGAGGCCTGGTGCACAAAAATTCTTGCAAGAGTAGGCCTTCCTTCCCCTGTCTGCCAAGACTAGCTTCCCTGTGGCACCCGGGACCCCGGGCTTCCCACCTCTGGCTGTCTGCAGGCACCCGGGACCTGGGCTGGCTTCCCTCTGGCTCAGGCTTTGACAGGAAAAATGTCTGGAATGACCTCCTGTCTAATTAGCATATTATACTTTTATTATTATAGAGAGATAAGATGTAGATGGGAAAAACGTTTTAGTTATAGAGGAAAAGTGGTAATGAGATGTGAATCATTATACACATCCATATTAACCCTGTGTTATAAGTGTTCATATACCATCTGCTTATGTTTATATTTATGTTTAGGGCCCAGGGATCAACTTGGGCCTATGGTGTATGTTTTTACAACCCATATGACTTTTACACTTTTGAAGGGATGTGAAAGAAGAGAGGAATTCAGCTTAACCTCAAATTGTCTTCCATAGGACAGTAAATATAGAACACTTACATTAATTTAAAAGTAATTAACTCAGAATTTTTTGACAATATAATCTAAATTAAACATTTAATGTATAACCTAAATTATACATTAAATGTTTAACTAATCAGATGAGTTGTGCAAACAGTGTTATTAAGAACATATTAAGCCCTATCCTGTTTGGCTCAGTGGATAGAGTGTCAGCCTGTGGACTGAAGGATCCCAGGTGGATTCCAGTCAAGGGCATATACCTTGGTTTCAGGCACATACCCAGCAGGGGGTGTGCAGAAGGCAGCTGGTTGATGTTTCTCTCTCTTTGATGTTTCTAACTCTCTATCTCTCTCCCTTCCTCTCTGTAAAAAAAAAATCAATAAAAAAAAAATTTGTTTTAAAAAGTTACTAAGAGAGCAGACTGGTGTTAAAGATCTCAATGAAGGTATTGTTACATCAATATTAAAAATAAATGTTTAAAATGATGATTAAGCCTATCTGGTTAGGCTCAGTGGATAGAGCATTGTTCTGTGGAGTGAATGGTCCCAGTTTTTATTTCAGTCAAGGGCACATGTCCAGGTTATGGGTTTGACCCCCCCGGTAGGGGACATGCTATTGATTTGTCCATCTCTCTCTCCCTCTCCCATCCTCTTAGAAATCAATAAAACATATTTAAAAAATAAAATGATGGTTAAGCACAGTCAATATGGCTTCATGTTTGAAGGTTGACCCATGAACCAGAGGGTCATGATTTGCTTCCGGGTCAGGGCACTTGCCCGCGTTGCAGGCTCAATCCTGAGTGATTCTCTTTTATCAGTATGTTTCTGTCTCCCTCTCCCTTTCTGTCTGAAATCACTAAAAACATATTTTAAAAATTATTGTTAAGTGTGCAGTTAGAAAAAAAATGTATGTATACCAGAAATGCCCTAACTTGAGTAATTACAAAATAAATACCTCTTCATCTGCCTTGTCAAAAATGAAATGCTTGCCTAATAATTCCATTTATTGAGATATAAGATGATCTTTTCTATAAAAACTCAACTATAATCCTTCATCCATGGCACCTAGAGCCTTGTATGTCACTAACCTTATTAAGCTAATTAATGGTGCTCTTTAGCAAATGGATTCTTTTTGGCTTAAGAGAAGTGATTATAATGAGCCTCATGTGACACTAAAAATAGCGCTTGAATTATTAAACCTTTCAAGGAACAACTTTTGTATTGATCTTCTTGGGTACCTCTGCCATCTGGGTTCTAAGCCCTACAAACAGTTTGGAGCAGTGATCGGCAAACTCAGTCAACAGAACCAAATATCAATAGTACAACGATTGAAATTTCTTTGAGAGAAAAAAATTTTAAACTTAAACTATATAGGTAGGTATATTGTTATTAACTTAATTAGGGTATTTCTAAGTTGGCCTTTGGTAAAACCTCAAGGGGCCAAAGAGCCACATGTCGCTCGAGGGCCACAGTTTGCTGACCACAGGGTTAGAGTATCTGCCCTTGTTATGCCCAGACTTCATGATCCCCAAGGACCACCAGGGAGCCGAGTCAGATGCAATAAACAAAAGAGCCTTCTCCATGCTAGCATGGGCCCCTCCCACCCACGCCGGCAGCATGGCGGAAGAGAGCGCGAACTTCTCCCAGTCCAGGGATTTTACTCCAGTTGGTGGTGATGTCACTGCCTTGGCTAACCCTGATTGGTTGGGTGAGGGCTAGGGATAACTCCGCCCTGCGGGGCGGAGTTGGAAGCTCATCCTCACCCCGCCCTGCCCTCTCATTCCCCCCTTGTCTAATGTGCCTAGTCTCAGCCTACTTCCTTTCAGCATAAACAACAAATACAGTTACCAAGACCCTTAGTACCACAGTTCCCATCAGTATTGTCCTCACTGAAGTCCAGTTCCCCTCCTGCAGGCATCAGTTCTCCTCCTGGCCTGTAGTTGCCAGGATCCAGGCCATGCAGGAGCTGGGAGTCATGTAGTCAGGTCTGGGTGCCATCTACTTCAACAGCAGTGGGCGTGCTCAGGATAACAGTGCAGCATCCCTTTGAGTCCTTGAACAGCGAATTTCTTTACCCACATTGAATTCCAGGGCTACAGGGTCTGCGGTGGGCACTGGCAGTGCATCTGGAACAAGCAAACTGCAGAGCCTGTAAGGACTTGCTTAGCATTTACCTGTGCACAGACAGTACTTCTAGCAACTCTGCCTCACAGATGTTCAGAAGTCTTGGTGACACTTAACCTGGTGTCACCGGGCAACTCTGACCTAGAGCCTCTGGGACCAACAGTCTTGTCATCTGGAGGGTCCATCAACCATCTGGTCCTTCAGTGGCTTGCTTCTGGTCAGCCAATTCCTTCTGGCTGCAGTTGGTAACCCTCTTTTCTCTGTGGATGGCACAGTGTCTCCATCAAAGGGCCTGGATTAAGGCCAAAAGTTCTGGAACTGTGCCCAAATGGTGTGGTCCAGGGTAACTACCACTGCCTCTGCATATCAGGTCCCATCCTGAATGTAACTGCTCCCATCCGTGAACAGTACCTTGTTGTCTGTTACCTCTGTGCAGCCATGAATGGGTTCCTCCATCATCAACTGGAAGCAGGCTGGCAGGGTTGATGGCCAGAGTCTTATAGCTCCTGGCCCAGAGTCTGCTTATCTGCCTCCTTCACCAGCAGTGCTGTGGTGGCCACCGCCTGGGAGCACGCTGGCCACCCTGCTGCCACAGGGTCCAGTCTCTCTTCCAGGGACCTAGAGTCTGAGTGAGAACCCCTTTGGCAATGCCTCTTACCTCACTCACGTAGAGGTGGAAGCGCTTTGTGACGTCCGGCAAGGCTAGGGCAGCTGCTGAGATGAGAGCCTTCTTTAGCTCCCCAAGGACCCATTGTTCCACTTTGGACCAGTTCATCAGCTGCATTCCCCCAGTACGTGTTCCTTCCGAGGACCACAGTCCTTCTTGATGTCCAAGGAAAACAGGCAGTTTGTCCGGTGGCTTCCTGGGCTGATGTACGGGTCCTATTGGCTCTTTCAAGACTAAATAGGGTGTCCCAATGCCCATCAGGAAACTAACAGGCTTGCCTCTCCTAGCTAACCTGTCAGGACATACTCTCTATAACTTTTATAAAAATCTTATCTTCCAAAAATACATAACCATGCTTCAAATTTTAAAGAAAAGGCAAGGGAGGAGGGAGCAGGTCCAGTACTGTTCCCAGGCCTCCAGCCACCTGAAATGTAAAATGCCACATTTTCCCTACAGATATAGATTTATCTGCATTTCTAAGCCTCCTCTACTCCCCCAGCAGAACATTGGTGAAAATTGTCCAAGCAGTCTCGGGGGGTTAAATCATACAAATAATTGTTTTCACATTGTTTTAACACAATTCTAAATAAATTATAAACCTTTGTGATGAAGTCTACTTAAATCTATACACATGACTGAAACCAAAAATGATTCCCAAAGTTTAAACAAAATACAAGATGCAGGTACAAGCCCAAATTCAACAACAATGGCATATGAGAAAAGCAAAACAAAACAAATCAAATATAAAAGTTTCATATGTTACATTAAACATTATTTTAGAAAAACTGACTTAAAAAAATACGGCATCACTGACTTAAAATAATTTTTTTTAAGTGTAAGCATTACATACTTTTTCATCTGACAAATGAGAATAAATCAATCCTTGAGATCTTTGATCATTACTGCTTATTCTAAACACATATAATACAGTTTAGCCTGCCATATTCTAGGCATCTAGTTACTGCAATTTACTTTAACCTAATTCAATTTATACTTTGAACTTTTAAAGCTGGCAAGTCAAATAAATTTGGCATTTCTTAGATTAATAACATTACATTTTTAATACATCCTGCTTACTTAGGGTAAAGTTTCAGCAACACATTTTTTTTTCAGCATTCAAATGCAAATGAACACATTCTTTAGCTGAAGACTCCCGGCCATTCACCACCATTCATGGCCATTCACCACCATTCACATAAACTTGTTACCATTACCCTCTAGTTTCCGCCTCATGGCGGGAGAATTTCAAAAGCTGCTTACAATGTCTTGGGGAACCAGTTTTAATTTATCTTCCAGTTATCTCCACCATGTTTAAAGCTCATTCTGTACACAGAAAAGTTTTAAGCACAGCCCAAAACTATGCGCACTCGTTTTGAACTGGCCTATCACTTTACTGAGCACAGAGATTTGCCCTTGAGCTCTTCTCCATTACCGGATATCCCCGTGCCAGATGCTTCCATGCCGGCCCAGGCCCCTCGGGCCCAGGCCCCCTGAATGAGGCTGCTTCGGCCGCAGCCCCAGCCACGCTACTCAGGTGGTCCCAGAGGAGAAAGCTCGGGTCTCCCCAGCGGCTTCCCGGCTCCGCCTCCCCTTCTCCAGGCAGCCAACAAATTAACCCAGGTGCCTGCTCCCCGAGCGAGGCCACCACTGCCCAGCCGCGCTCCAATGCGCAGACTGAGCCCCGCCGGAGCCCTCCCTCCAACCCAACGCCGCCAGGGGGCCCCGCACCACCACACCGGCCACACATTGCCAGCTCCATCCTGGGGCTCCATGTCGCCCACAGATACCAAACTCAGACCTGGGAAAGGTTTCCGCAGGTGAGGCAACGGCTCACGCCGCTCACCTCGTCCCGGGAGAGGCTTATCCCTCTCCCCACATGAGGGTCCCTCTAGGGCCCTCCAGGGAGGTCAGAACGTCTTCTGATCCTCCTGCCCGTAGCCTTCATGGTGCGTCCACCAGGCGTCTTCGGGCACCAATTCCATGAGGGGTTTTACGTCCCTCCAGAGCGCGCACACACCTACCGCGGCCAGTCAGGCTCTCCGGATTGGGTCCCCTAATGGTCCTGGCCGGGGATTCCGGATGAATTCCCCCATCTATTATGCCCAGACTTCGTGATTCCCAAGGACCACCAGGGAGCCGAGTCAGATGCAATAAACAAAAGAGCCTTCTCCATGCTAGCATGGGCCCCTCCCACCCACGCTGGCAGCATGGCGGAAGAGAGCGCGAACTTCTCCCAGTCCAGGGATTTTACTCCAGTCAGTGGTGATGTCACTGCCTCGGCTAACCCTGATTGGTTGGGTGAGGGCTAGTGATAACTCCGCCCTGCGGGGCGGAGTCGGGAGCTCATCCTCGGCCCGCCCTGCCCTCTCACCCTCACACAGAAGAGTCATGTGTTTCATTCCCATTCTGGGGTAGGGAGTTAGCTGAGAAATGGGATAAATAGAGAAACTGAGACAATGCTGCCTCCCAGTGATTTTTTTTTCCTTCTTGTCTGTTTCTCCCAAACAGAACTGAGAGTGGTGAGGCATCAGTTGAATCCCATAATGCAGCGTTTTTTAACCGCTGTTCCGCGGCACACTAGTGTGCCGCGAGATGTTGCCTGGTGTGCCGTAGGTGCAGACAAGACAAGAATTTTATAATTTTTCACTATTTTGTTTACTTAATATTTCATAATAAAGTAATTATAAAATACTTTCTTTGTGTTTATTTGATTCCTATTCAAGAGAATTACTTTATATATAGTCAATATAGGCACAGAGTTAAATTTTTTAACATTTTCTAATGGTGGTGTGCCTCGTGATTTTTTTCATGAAACAAGTGTGCCTTTGCCCAAAAAATGTTGAAAAACACTGCCATAATGCACTCTCAAGGTAAATGACCTGGTCAGTGTAACTCAGCAGTTGAGTGTTGACCCAGGAACCAATAGTCACTGGTTCAATTCTGGGTCAGGGCACATGCCAAAGTTGCAGACTCAATCCCCGGTAGAGGCTGTGCACCCTCTCTCTCATAGATGTTTCTATCTCTCCATCCCTCTTCCTTCCTGCCCTTCTAAAAATCAATAAAACACTTATGTGTTTTTTTAAAGAAGGTAAATGTTTAGTTGTGGCATATATTTAAAAGCAGCTGGAGGGCACAGACCTGCTCAGTGGCTCCATTCACCCTATTTAGAGGACATGGGGAAAGGGGAAGGATGCTGAAGATGGTGAACACCTATAGGGAAGATCAGTTTGGGCTGTGAAAGAAAAGAGCCACATGCTAAACTGACAAGCTCAGGGAAGGCCTGCATGGCAGTCTTGCAAACCCAGTGACCTAAGATAACCACAAAAGATGGTTTGAAAATTAAATATCTAACAGGTTATAGTAGGTAGTCATGTCCCAGATATTTTCCCAGACAAAAATCAACTTCAGTCTTTTTACTGAGCCCATTTGCCTTTTTGTTTCTAAGATAACATATCTGTGAGATGTCTGGGTAACTTGTAACTTCCCTTTTTCCGAAGCCCCTGGGGAAAACCGAATGTGGTGGGCTCCAGGACAAATGCCTCAAATTCCTTCCTTATTATGTTAATTGTTCCTGCACTCACCTGAGTACACGTCCATCATTTTATTTTTTATCCAATCCCAGGAGTTTCCCACCACTTTGCTTTCTCCCACTTCCTTACTCCATCACCAATGAATTTCATGTAACCCACCTATGTCCCTCCTTTGATTGCAGTGTATAAATATAGAAATGTAACCCGCCATTCTTCGGAGCATTATCTCAATCCTTTGAGGTTCTGCTTCCTGGCATATGTCGAAAGTTTGGCTCAAATAAACTCACAAAAATTCTTTACAGGTTTCAATGTTTTTTTTTTGTTTTGTTTTGTTTTGTTTTGTTTTCGTTAACAGGACCATGGGTCCCTCCTCCATAGATGACCTCTCTTCCTCCTGCCTTGTCCTGGAGAAACCTCATCTAGGGGAGAGGGTGCTCTCTGACGCCTCCTGCAAGCAGCAAACCCTCCACTTCTGGGAGAAATGGTCCTGGCCCTGTTTTGTTCTTGGCCTAGGTGCCCTCAGACACAACTCCACCTGGGGAAATGTGAAGCAAAGAGATGCCAGCAAATGCTGTAGAGGAGGAAAACAAGCCCTTTGAGCCCTGAGTCTTCTCACCCTCCCCCGTACTTTGGAGGGAAGGAAATAGTCTTAATTTCCACAGTGAGAAGACTCATTGAACTCACGAGCATGCCAGGATTCATGGGCCAGGGATCCATGGGCAGGGGACCCGCGGGTAGCAGCAAGAATGAGGACGGAGAGAGCAGCTGCAGGGACCTTCATCTCCCCAGTGTGCAGACAGCTCTGGCCTGAGGATCCTGGCTTCTTTGCTTCCTGATTCCCTGGATCAGCTCTGCCCTTGTATTGATAAGAGGAGGATCAGGAAGTCACAGGGCAGACAAATGCTATTGTTTGACTCTACAATCAGCAACAGGATATTTCTAAAAAAGGGAACAAGCCTGGGAACACAATAGGAAGTTGAGGAAACAATGATTAGCAGCTTTCCCAAAGGCCCAATCGGTATAGGCATGTGCCCTGACTGTGCATTGAATTGTGACCTCCTGATTCATAGATTGATGTCCAACCACTGAGGCACACTGGCAGGACCCCTCTTAACATTTTGTTAGTGTAAAGTCTCTGACATTAAGTACATCCACAGTGCTGTGCAGTGATCACCATTATCCATCTCCAGAACATTTGCATCTTGCAAAACTGAAGCTTTACCCATTCCTGCTCTCCAGACCTTGGCAAACCACCACTCTACTTTCTAGTTAATATCAATATTACATCCATATCTTTAAGGTCCTGTGAATTTGACCTTATACAAATGGGATCATATGGTATTTGCCTTTTTGTCTGATTTTTTCACATAGCATAGTGTCCTCAAAGCTCATATTGCATCAAGTGGGGGCACTGAATAATATTCCAGTGAATATTCCATATTTTGTCTAGTCTGTCCTCCCTTGTTATCTTTGTTTCCACCTTTTGCTATTGTGAAGAATGTTGCCATGAATGTGGGTGTACAAATATCTCTTTGAGATCCTTGAATATTTACATTTTAAAGCATGTTTTTAAAGCATTTAAAAACAATAAATTAAAAATCCAAAGAATAAAATACAAATCAATAGGAATTAAGGTTGTACTTTTTTTTTTTCTCCCACTCCCACATCCTCTTCAAACTCCCTAGGCTACCCTTGAGCCTCCAAAGGATCACTTTACTTGGGGGTGAGGATAGAGTCTGGAAGGACAAAGGGTGTGTCTCCCCCACACCACACCCCTGTAGGGTAACATCTGGGGACCCTAAGCCGCCTGCAGGGAGGGTGCAGTGAAGCATTGTCCTGGCCTGCCCACTGCCCACCCCCTGCCAGACCATTGGCCTGGACACATTCCTGTGTGCTGCCTGCTGCACTGCCAGTGACTTAAGGCCCAGGCAGCCTGGGAAGCCCTGGCCTTGCCCTGGAGCCCTGAGGCTGCTGGTCTCTGAGTTAGAAACTCCTTTGCTTCCTCTGCTCCAAACAGCCCCAGGGTTGAAGGGAAAGAGGTTTGGAACAGAAACCAAGGCTTCCCACATTGGTTCTGACAGTTTTACCTCCCAAGTTAGTCAAGGATAATAGATATTGCACCTTTACCCTGTGGTCTTGTTATAACATCAATCACAATGCATCAGGTCACCTTCTTAAAACCTTTCAATGCATCTCACTGTAGAATTTACCCAAGTGTCTATGAGCCTTTCACAATCTGGCTGCCAGCTTCCTCTTCTCCCTGGTCCACTCCACTCTCCACCTCACCCCATTGAACATGTCTGTTCTCCAGCTAAAGAAGCGCCTTCTACTCCTCTTCTGCTCCTGGCATGTCCCTCCTGAGTATCTCTGCACTTGCTGGGCACTAGGCCTGTCCTGCTTTCCATGGCTGTTGCCTTCTCAGGTGGCATCTTCTTGGAGACCCTTCCCTCCCACACACCCAGGATGGCCCTCCAGCCACTGAAGTCACCACCGCCCCTCTCACCTCACTCTGTTTGCCATGTCTTCACCTAACTTATAATCCATGGTTACACTGTCTGTGTATAGTACCCAATTTCTGTCCAGCTCTGCTCTGCAGTGGGGGTTGGGAGTGAGTGAGGGGGAGGAGGGAGTAGGCTGGAGGTGGGAGATCTGAGGAGGGGACCCATGCCAGGATGACTCCACCAGGACCAAAGCCTGACGCAAAGCCTATGGATTACATCTTTAGTGGTTCTTTCTCAGATTCAGGAGATCTAAAATTTCTAAAAATTCATTAGTTAGTGCTACCTATGAAGAACTCCATAGTCTTTTTTGGGACTGCAGGGCTGCAGAAATTAATAGAGATGCAAGGAATCCCGGAGTGGGTGGGGCCAAGGAGAGGTCAGCCTGACCCTGCCCCTCGCTCTAGCCTTGCTTCTCAACTATCACCAACTGTAGAAAGGAATCCTATGGACAGTCACAAAACCATGGCTGATTGGGAGCTGAGCCAAACCGGTTTCATCTGCCAAGAATTCTTTATCATGGGGGCTCTTCTTGTTCTCCCTCTCAGGGTTCAGCCTCAAGGAATAGCTAGTGAGATTTCTGTCTGCCTATCTGCAATATAATTGTGGCTGTCTGTCTTTTAGAAATTTCTGTTTGCTCTTTCCTTATTTATTGTGAGAATAAACAAAATCATCTTTTCTGTCAAAGAACAGTTTAAATAGCCTCCATTTTGGACTATGACTTGGCAGCCACTATGTTGACTGTATGGCTTGCTGCTCTCATTGAAAGAGCAAGGGCCAACCCATCTTTTTGAATTAGCCAATTGGGAAAGACTGTGTGGCTGTGCTCCAATCAAGAGCAAGAGACAGGTCACGTGCATTGTTAAAGCACTCTGCTTTAAGAACTTGCAAAGATTCTCAGAGCCAAGCTCAAACAGGAAACTTTAGGAGAGTAGCATATGTACAGTTGGGGACACTGGCAAGCCAAACATCATGATTCCCTGTGGGGGCATCTGCCAGTGATACTCTGGGTATTTGCATTTTACATATTGGGAATTTATGAATTATTTTCAATGCTCAATACACTGCTTGCAATAAGTCATGAGCCTCATTTTAAAATTTTACACATTATTCTTTATATGTTGAAATTATAATTGAGTCTAAAGGTATATAAATTTTATATTATTCTCTATGTCATTTTACAGGGACTATTACTTAACAAAGAGATTGTTATATTGGAATGTTATATTTCATAGAAAAGCAAAATTTTTATCAAATCTATACCCATGATACTTTTAAATTTTTGTCATTTGTGGACAGCTTAGTCTGATGCATTTGTATGTGTATATGTCTAAAAAAATCCATGAAAAAAACTCGGATTTATTCTAATTTGCAGGCTTCTAAGCAGGTCATATTTTGAACTGGATGAAGATTTATAAAACTTCAAGGAATAACTGAATTAAAAAAAAAAAAAAAAAAAAACTACCGGCAAATAATCTGGATAAACAATAACAACTATGGGACTAAATGAATTGAGATTAATTATTCTTATGATTCTGTTTAAAATATTATTGACTTTTAAATCTTTTGTTTTCTTAATATAGAGAAAAGTAAAGAGCAGACATTCTGCATTGTAGGAACTAACAAATTGGTAACAGACTCATTTCACAGTGCACTCCAGGGAGACGAAGATTTCAAAGATCGTGGCTTATAACCAGGAGATTTGTGTCCTGGAAAAGACACCAAATAAAAGACTCTCAAACCTTGTTGGAGGGGACCTTACCAAGTATTACTAACTAATCTATGTGCAGTTGAACTTAAATGAGTTATCCCATAGATTCACATTTCTCATAAAAAAAAAAAAAAAGGTATCCGACTGTGAATGAACGTCTACTCCCATCTCTGACACCCGTCTGCAGCAGAGATCACAGACTTTTCAAGGATGAAAAGTCACTGACCACAGAGGCAGACAGCTATCCCAGGAAGACATCAACAAGGCCTATATGCTCACAAATTGATATTGTTTGTTTTTATATCATCTGATTATTATTGATTGAATGTACATAAAATTATTATCTTTATGGTTTCCTAGTGGAAACAATATCTGCCTCCCCAAACCTTCTCCCTTATTAGATATGAAAAATTTCACTTGGATACCTGCTAATCTTTCCTACCTACTACACAATGATGTTTTGATTATCAGGTATGATAGTGAAATCAATGCTTTGTTAGCCACACATTGGTCTTCTACCATCAATATAAGCTTTGGTTGTTGTTGTTGTTTTCTGTCTCTATCTATTATAAAGGACCCATCTTAGGCAAATACCTCCAAGAATATCTCCCTCGTAATTCCACTGGTAGAATTGTATATGGATCTAATCTCGATGAATATTGTATGGCTAAGGAGATGGGTGATGAATAGCTAAGAAAAACACCTGGATATGATGGCAAAAGGCTTGCAGAGCCTGTCCTATCTGTCATAGCATATCAAGTCCTTGGACTCACCAGCCAGGCTCCTATGGCTGGATGTCTGTGAAACAAGAAAGAAATCAATGGGTCCCCATTTCAGAAATTGTTGACATCACTCAGTGGATAGCTATGTCTGTAACTACCCCACTGTTCTTATGTCCTGGATGCTTTTGAGAAGCCCTATAGAGTACTCAAACTCTAGCTCATTTGTGGGTCACCTTCACCCATTTAACTATGGCATGGGAAACAACATTTTTTGGCCCACTCAGTATACTCTAATTGCTCCCTAGTCATAGCTACTCAATGGCAACAACATTGGTCTCCCTAAAAGAGGCAAAAGAGGAATACTTGGAAAAGTAGGGGCTGGCCTTGGTATCATGGGACAAGCTGAATTTGTAGCTAATGAAGAAAGTCATCCATCAGATAAGGAGTCTTATCTCATATAGGTCATGTAAAGGGAATGCTGTTTCAGGAAGAAAGAAAAAGCATGGGAAGCAGCATGGAAAGACAATAAAGCTTTAGTTTCATGGACAGAACTGACTTTACAGACTACAAAAACTCATGCATAACCCCAACAATGGGAATGTGCCTATACCCTAACTCAACTGGGCCTGCTGTCTATGCTAATGTGAGGAATCTGAAGTGGCTATGAAACAATGGCCAACTATAATTGCTGCAGAAGCCCAGGCCAGACACTTATGGGACTCATATGGTTCCCCAGGAATTTGGAAAATTTTAAATGGGAAATGTGTTCTATAACATTGTGTTTTTAAAAGCCCAGGTGCCAGTTAAATCCCAAGATTAAAATTCCCAGTAGTTCAACTGGCTGGTGTAAGGACCATCCTCAATAATACAAGTCAGGGGCATTTCTGGTATATGT